CCTAAAACCTAAACCCTAAAACGCATAGGGCGTAGGATGAAAACCCGGAATCGTTGGGCCAACAAGGCTGAACCCGCCACACCGAAAAATTCGGCTGACTCCTAGAGAGAGGCCCGGCAGACCTTCAACCCTAAACCCTAAACNNACCCTAAACCCTGAACCCACTAAACCCTAAACCCCTAAACCCTGAACCCTGAACATCCTAAACCCTAAACTCTAAACCCTGAACCCCCTAAACCCTAAACCCTGAACCCTCTAAACCCTAAACCCTAAACAACCCATACCCTAAACCCTAAACCCCCTATGAACCCTGAACCCCCTAAACCCAAAACCCTGACTAAACTCTAAACCCTCATCTGCACAGGGTTCTCGAAGCCCAGCCTTGCGAAGGCCAGCCTCTTTGTGAAGATATACGGATCATCAGGGGTTGAGGGTTTAGGATTTGGGGTTTAGGGTTTAGGGTTTTGGGGTTTAGGGTTTTGGGGTTTAGGGTTTAGGGTTTAGGAGCTGAGGGTTAAGGGTTGAGGTTTTAGGGTTTTGGGGTTTAGGGTTTAGGATAGGGGTTTAGGGTTTAGGTGCTACAGCACTGCAGGGGCTGAGATTCGACGGAAGGATCACGAGTAAGTCGGCTAGATTCGGGCTGCCAGCACCGTAACTCAGGAGATCCTATCTATCTACGGATCTATCTATCTGTCGATCTATCTCTCTATCTGTCTGTCGATCTATCCCTTTGTACATTACATAATATATACAATCTACCTGTACATATACGTATATATATATATATATGTATACACAAGCTAGCTATATATACATATATATATATATATATATGGTCTAGGGCTTTCGGGTTTAGGGTGTGGCAACCCGAAAACGCAAGACTTCCTCCGTCTGTAGCGTTATGAAGCCCTCCATCTGTTGTATGAAAACCTTAGAATCGCTCACAATGCGCCGAAGAAACCCGACTCTTGCCTTGAACAAGTACCCTGGCACGGGCTTGTCGTTCGCGGCTGTGGCCTGACGTGGCAAACCAGAAACCTCTACCAAACAGGTGATAAAAACCCCCATAATACTACGCCTGCAGTACACCTTATGGAACCCTGCATAAGAAACCTTAAGAGGGCTCCTTTCAGGGTTCCTTTAAGGATTCCTTTAAGGGACACTGTAAGGGTTCCTTTAAGGGCTTCACCTAAACCCTAAACCCTAAACCCTAAACCCTAAACCCTAATCCCTTTAAGGGCTCCCCTTTAAGGGCCCTTTCCAGGAGCCCTATATATTCTACTTATCGAGGCCGTCTTGGCCTGGCCACAGGGCTGAAAAAGGCTAGGGTTCAGAGTAGGACAGGCAGCTAACACGCACGCACGTCCCTAGGATAACTTAGGGTTTAGGGTTTAAGCGGTTTAGGGCTTAGGGCTTAGGGTTTAGAGTTTGGGCTTTGGGGTTTAGGGTATAGGGTTTAGGGCACCGGCTTGAGATTTCATCAGAATACGAACTTGCAAGAGTCGGAAAAGATAAGTCTTGGAGAACTCGGAACATGGTGCTGCTTTAACATCATAATCCCTGTGAGGTTTATTTATAGGCTAAGTTGCCTTTGAATAGTAAGAGGCACCTCAAAGGAAACCCCTAAACCCTAAACGCTACACCCAAGCTTGAGGAAACTAAAGTTTAGACACCCTGCAAGCATGAACAGCAGTCTGGATCTCGACTCACCTCGGGGCGCACATACATGCATGCATGCATGCATACATACATGCATCCATACATACATACATACATACATACATACATACATACATACATACATACATACACACGTACAAAGATCTAGATACACCCCATGTACAGATGTTCGTACATTGGTACGTGTATTTTTTGCATATATATGTATATACACACGTAAACATGCGCATGTGCAGGTGTTGCTTGACAGGTGCACCGCGCCCTGCCATCTCCCCTTCTCATTGTTTCCAGTTGCAAGTTCTTTCCACTTTTCACTCTTCAGGATTGCACATTTCAACTTTGAAGGGCTTCATAACTAACTACTTCTGTGGGCAAAGAAGAGGAATTGCAACAGTGTAACACAACAGTCTCCCATTAAAACAGGTAGAATCTCGACAACCGAACTGCCAAAGGAAACTCGAAACATCTGATACCATCTCGATCCCTTCACTTGGGAAGGGGTGTTAGCAGATTCGAGGTTAATGGTTCAAGAATCCACAACCGAGCAACTCCAAATCCTGCAGAACCCCTAACATGCCGAAGCCCCACAATCCCACACTCCAACCCAAAACCCAAAACCCTAAACACACAATCCCCCACTCCAACACAGAACCCAAACCTTCAGATGGTCGGGGCCTCGAAGATGTTGTCCCAGTTCATGGCTTCGCATGCCAAGTGGCGCCTACGTTTCCTGTGCGTGACGCATGTCGGGTTGAGTTTCAGAACCCTAAACCTTAAACTCCGTGCGCACGGCGACTAGCATTGGGCTGAGTTTAGCAGCTTTGCCTTGGCTGGGATGTACACAAGTAGCAACAACACTAAAAACAACACGAAAAGTACGAATAGTAACAATTCATCGTATAAAAAATAACAATGATCATAATAGCAATAGTATTAGTAATAGCAGCAAGAATGGTTAGGGAACATCGCAGACTCCCTTGTACTGAGCTTGAAGCTCAAAGCTGCGGCAGATGAGAGAGCCCTGAACCCTAGACTCTAAGCCCTAAACCCTAAACTCTGAATCCTAAACCCTAAACTCTAAACCCTAAACCCTAAACCCTGAACCCTGGAGAAGCTGAACGTTCCGAAGTCAGAATCCAGAGATGGATGGAATTCCAGGCCCTTCCAAGGTCCAGTGCCCTTAGAGTTCAGAAATAGAGAGTACTAACGTCTCCTTAAAGTCACTCTACAATTCTACCATCCTAATCTATTGATTCAGATTCAGTGTCCTCTTGGCATTTTGGGGAATCGAGATTCGAGATGGGCTAGGTACAACCCTCAACACGTACAACTTAGCCCATTACCGGCATACTCTACGACTACTGGCAACAACAAATGCAGGGCTTGGGGGACGGCTTTTAAAAGGCTGGTAAACCCTAAACCCTAAACCCCACGGTTATACTCTTCGACTGAAGGGCCCTAGACGGACCCCTCCAGACTCCAGACCTTTATGCAATTGTCACAAGACGCGAAACATCAAAAACCGTAACACCCTAAACACCAAACCTCAACCAAAGACCCTGAAAATCCGAAACCCCTCTCTAAAGCCTAAAAGCCAAATTCGAAAATTCTGGAGCCCTCAGGTTAAACCCCTCTACCCTACTGCACGAAGGCCTAACTCCAGAACCTAAACTCTATAACCTCTTCAGCTCCTAGACCTCTAAACCCCAAACCCCAAAACCACAAATCGCCTTGACACCCCCTTACCCTCGTGACCCCAAATCCTGAAACGCTAAATCTAAGCCCTATATAATCTAAGCCCTCAAAACCCCGAAGTACCGTTGCCCTCGAACCCTAAAGTCGAAAAACCGTAAGCCCTGAAACCCCAACACTAAAAAATTGAAATGCTAGACCATCATCCCCCTCGAAGCTACACCCAAAGCACGAAAGATCCTTGTGCCCAACCCTAAACCCTAAACGTCTTTGGGGTTTCGGGTGCCTCGTCGGCACAGACCCCCACCACAGCTGTAACCCAAGACGTCCAAGTTGCACCCTTTAGGGTTTAGGGTTTAGGGCTTGGGGTTTAGGGTTTAGGGTTCAGGGTGCACCAAAGGACAAGCAACAACAAGTCATGTGAGCTGCTGGGTGGTTCAGGACAGACCTTTAGACAGTTATATGCAATGAAATTAACATTAAGAACATTACCAATCACAACAAACATAATCTGCGTACTCATACCCTGAACCCTTTTGGCCCTATTTGCCTAAAGCCTAAACCGTGGCAGGAATGACTCATCACGGTCAATCTCCCGCATTTGTTTTGCTGCGTGAGGTGTCCGTGGCTGGCATGCTCTGCCCCACCTGCACTGTGCTGCTCCTACCCTAAGCCCGAAACCCAAAACCCTAAACCCCTAAACTCTACACCCTAATCCTACCCTAAGCCCGAAACCCAAAACCCTAAACCCCTAAACTCTACACCCTAATCCTACCCTAAGCCCTAAACCCAAAACCCTAAACCCCTACACTTTACACCCTAATCCCCCGAGACTCCTTAACCCTAAACCCTAAAGTGTTGGTTGCTTAGAGCGTTTAGGGGCTCAGAGCGGTTGCACTGTGTCGGGCTTCACGCCTTTTGGGTTGCCTTAGGGCCTCTAGGGGTTTAGGGTTTAGGGTTTAGGGTTTAGGGTTTCGGGTTTAAAGTTTTGGGTTTTGGGCTTAGGGCCTAAACCCTAAACCCTAAACCCTCAACCCAGACCCGTAACTCTGAACCCCTAGGCTCCAGACCCTAAACCCCCTCAAACCCCCTCAAAACCCCCTCTAAACCCCCCTCTACATCCCCTTTAAACCCCCTCTAAACCTCTAAACCCCTTTAAACC